CCCCCCCCCTACCCCCACACACACACACACGTTGGATTTTTGGTCAACGTTGCATAAGAAACTTGTCTGTTGAAGATATCTTTTCCGACACAACATTTGGAAACAGCAGACAGCATGTTAACCTTATATGCGCGAATACAACCTTATGATACGAGATATGGACGTTTTTCTGAAGTGGTATGTACAATACATTACGGGTTTTGCACAGGTGCAGTACGTTCTAGAACGTTCTGCTGACGTGCTTGCAAAAGGTAAGTTACCGATTCTGGTTGTCTTATAATGACATAACTAACTAAATAAATGTTTTTATTGGCCAAACAGTAGTAACCCGTGCAATCGCAGCCTTTATACGGCTGAATTAATGCAGGGTATCACATAATAATCAATGCAAATCACAACGATCAAATACTAGTAATACACATGATACACAAATTACCTGTCGCAAGGGTTTGTGCGTCTGCCATTCGGCGCCACAAGGTGACCTCAATACGTCTTTCCCCAACCGAAGTTAGGTACCCATTCACACCTGGGTGGAGTGAGGAAAATCGTGTAAAGTGCTATTCCCAAGGGCACAACTTCGGGGCGTATGTCCAGACATGTAGCGGGTACTTGGGATCGAACCCGGGTCTCCCCGTTTCATAGTCGAACACTCTACCATTACGCCACCGTTAAACCAAGGAGTGGTTAAACTAGGGCACATTGGGTTACTAGTACTTTTCGGGTATGCCTATTTACCGGAAAACACATATAGGAGGCTTAAATCTACCGGAATACACCCTGCATTGATGAGATAACAGCCCAAATTGCTGTATTTTGGCATAAGATAACTTATTCATAGCCCAGGGAACAAGAAACCACTTAAATAATGAGCCGGCAATCGGCGGAGGCATAGTTACGGCCCCGTATAAGTTACGTTATGGTCAAAATACAGCAAATTGCGATGTTGAAGTATAAAATAACTTTTAATCTAGGTACATTTCACTTCTCTTCTGTGATCGCGCTAAACAAACATATATTGCGTTACGCTATACGCTAAGTAAACAAACATGGCGACTGGCCGGGTTGCCTCAGCCGTCGCTCACAACGATTGTCGTGCGATCATCGTATGCCGTCGTCAGTCTAAAGTCGGCCTAAGTTAGTGATTCCTTGTTCCCTGGGCTACATATAAGCATAAGTTATCTTATGCCAAAATACAGCAACTTGGGGTGTTATCTCATCAATGCTGGGTGTATTCTGGTAGATTTAAGCCTCCTATATGTGTTTTCCTGTGTTTTCCGGTAAATATAGGCAGACTAGTACTTTTCTCCGTGGTATTTTGCTCTTCAAGCATTGTTATTCTCTCCTCACAGTGAATGGCCGTCATGGTTGACGTGTGTTTGTGTGCAGTCGCCACAGTGGTGCTGATCGTGACAGTAGTTCTGGCTTTGTCACGGCTAGGTTATATCTGTATCAACGGCCACTGGCAAAAAGGTGAGTGGAATAAATAATTGTCAAGTTCCAACATGAAGATTCATTGTATACAATACTGCGCAAGGAAACATGTACTACATTAATTCTGGAAACCAATCTGGTTTTAAGTTATAAAATACCTTGTAGTGTGAAACTATACATTTGTACATGTGCTATTTCTAATGCTTTAATTATGTACTAGTTGTATACAGCGTTTGCCCTTTCCTCAAACGGAATAATGCTTGAATCAATTATAACAAGACATTGAGAATGTCTTGCTATAATTGATTCAAGCATTATTACCTTCGCCAAGAAGGTTATGTTTTCAGTAGCGTTTGTCCGTCTGTCTGTCCGTCTGTCTGTCTGTGAACAGCATAACTCAAGAAGCTTAGTATGCATTGTCATGAAACTTGGTAGGTGGGTAGGTCTTAATGAGACCTAGAAATGATTAGATTTTGGGCCCCCTGGCGGCTTTTGTTGGTACTGCAGCAGAACTTCCGGTTTTGATATCTCGCGATCTGGACATGCTAGGGTCACGAATTTTGGTTGGTAGATAGCTCTTGAGGTAGGGAAGAAGTGACATGAGTTTGGGGCCCCTAGCGGCTTGTTCTGGAACTGCAGGAGCATTTGTTGAAAAATTTTTGAAGGATGATAACTCAAGAACCGGTTGACGGATTGTTGTGATTTTTGGTATGTAGGTAGCTGAAGGGATGCTTGACATAATCAAATGACAATTATGCAAATCAGGACCTAATTTGCATAATTAATGAGGAAATTCTATAAATCTGCTTTGTTCAATAATAGGACTATGAAACACTTGTGACATGTAATTGAGAATGAAAAAAACATCTGAGGATATAGATTATGTAAATGAAGACCTAGTTTGCATAATTAATGGAAAATTTTAAAAATTTCATAGTTGTAACTGCTGGGAATTTCATACTTGCCACATTTGGAAGTTAAGTGAAGGCGAACAACAATAAACATAATTTATTCAAATCATGATCTCATTTGCATAATTTATGAGGAAGTGCTATAAAAGCTTTTTTGTTAAGATAAGACTGCCATTGGGTGGAGAATATGATCAACTGATGTAATCCATGCAAATGAGGCTCTTATTTGCAAAATCAATTATCAAAATTGTATTATTCTTCAACCGCAAGGGTTAACATCATTTGGCGAAGGTATGAGATCGTGGAACTCTTGTTCCGTCCTGTTTCAGTTCTCAACAAAATAGATAAATCAAAAATCTTATGTGCATAATTAATGAGGAAATCCTAAAAAACTGTCAGTCAGTTCGTAACATTTTTGTTTTTATTTCAGCACTAACAACCTTCTTGGGCTACGGCTTGCGGTCGCAAAAGCTCCAGAGTAGGACTAATGACGGGTGGCATGAAATATCAGTACCTGAGCAAACCTCTCTACAGGAGCAAACCCAGCCCGATGTCATTTACGCGAACTCATCATCTTTTTGTAACGAAAACCCTCAAGACACAGCGGATGGCGGTACCAGCCAGAAAAGTGTGCAAAGCAAAACGCCTTCTCCAGAATTTAACCTTATTGGACAAAACGATATTAGTACATATACAACAGAGCTTGACGGATATCGGGTAAGTGTAGAACGCAGGTCGTCGAATGATGCAGTATCACATAACGAGAAGGCCCTATGTGATCCTTCGGGAACAGGCAGGTCATTGGCGCAGAACTTCTTCAAAAGACACGATACAGGTGCGTACAGTATGTATATTTATAATCTTCTTCGTTAGTTTGCCCAACAACATCAAAAGTAGAATGAGGACACTGTGGGGCACACTCAATAGTAATGTGGGGTCGTGTGGCGTAGCGGCAGAGTGCGCGACTCGGAACTAAGAGTCCCGGGCCGTTCGAGTCCTGCCATGCCACCGATCTTGTGCCCTTGGGAAAGGCACTTTGCACGACTTTCCTCACTTCGCTCAGGTGTAAATGAGTATTGTCCTGTCATGTATTTGTCCCCTGTGTTGGTGGCGGCATTAATATAAGTTGAAAAAACTTGAGTGTGTCGTCACCACGCCTGGTGATTACATGTTGGAATAAAAAAAAAATAAATAGTAATCTCTTACATTGACGACACAGAAAATGTCGCTCAAGGATCACTCCTTTAGGTACCTATCCGTAAATCAGGTTGGCAAGTTACTGAATAAAGATACTCTTTTTACAAAACCAAAATGATGTGCTGTACAATGTGAACCGGGGTCAGAATTGCCCTGAGAAAGGTGAAAGACGGTCACCGAAATGTCAGCTAAATAAGATACTTGGTTGTGTAAAAAGAATCTCTTGGGGTTTTAAATTATTACCGTAGTAAAACATGTGTATATTTAAATTGATGAAGCCGTTGAATCTTTTCAAGTACCATCCGGTACCCTTCATCAATACAAAAGGGTACTGGATGGTACTTGAAACGTTTACGTATTAAAATTTCGATTTATCCAGTTAGAAAAGATTCAACGGCTTTATCAATTTATCTTTATCCTGGATGATTAACCTTCACCAACGTAGCATGTGTATATTTGTTTGTCTTATCCACACAAATTTCCTACAGAAGATTCTGTGCCAAGTACTGGGACAGACATGCGCTGCCTCGTGTCGGAATCTAAGAATGTGCACGTCCTTAATGTCGGTCCAAACTCTATTGTGAACTATGCAGCAAAAGAAACACAGGAAGACGCATTAAGTAAGTATAAGAAGCAATCTATTGCATATGCACGCATGCACCGATCTTGTACATACAATAACAAGTCGCTCATAATCTGCCAGGAAAGAGTATAAGTCCCATATGTACAATCTCTTAAACTGATTAATATGTTCAGTCGGGTTTATGCTGGCCCCAATTAAAATTTATCACAAAAATTGTGTACATGTTAAAAGTCAATGATATGAAGTGTGCAGTAACAGCCTATAAGTATTGGGTGAAAAATGCCTAAAATTTCAAATGGATAGATTTAGTGATACTGTTTCTATCGCTCTATATTACATACCCCACGACTTAGAATAGTCCTATGATAAAAAGCAGCAGATAGCATTCCCTTATCAATCTGATAAATTAGAACCTGATTTGCATGAATGTCATCTGATTATGTCAGGCATCATATGCATGAATGCATACCAAACATCACAACGATCCGTCAACCTGTCCTCGAGTTATCCTCCTTCAAATATATTGAAGCAAACTCGCCTGCAGTTCCAAAACAATATGCTGGGACCTCACTCATTAGTGTGACCTTAGCGTGTGCAGATCATGAGATATCAAAAGCATTGCAGTACAATAAAAAGCCACCAGCAGTCCCAAATCTAATCCTTTCAAGATCTAATCAACACCTACTAAATATCAGGAAAGCTAGGTAAGCCTTCCCGAGTTATCATGTTTTCAAACACGTACTAGACACACACACACACACACACACACACACACACACACACACACACACACACACATTCACACGTACAGGCGTACACGCGCGAACGCAACCGAAAACATATTATTAACCTTCAAAGGTAAACATACAGAGCTGAGGTCGACGTGAACCCTTATTACACATATCGATGGCAAAATTATGTCTTATAGACCGCTTAATGTGGCTATATCAAAAGATATTTTTTATGTTGACACTATTTTCTTATTTCAGTGGAGGAAGAGTTGTTCCCAGTCCTATGTGTCGTTCAAAAACCAGGCGCCCCTGCCAATGCTGCCAGAAAGAGAACCCACGAGCCTGACCCAGACACGGACTGTCGCGTTCTCCTCGGAGTCAAGTGTGACGTCAACAGTAAGGAACTCATGGCCTTGTCCTTCAGCCACAGCCTATCGAAAGGAATTGTGGGAACGGACATCAATGACCCTGTAAGTCGCCGTCTTGAATTTATGACTAATCTAGCCATGGTAATGATGAGGAAATGAGAGTAATAGGGCCTGGCATCTTAAAATATTGGGAATTACGACAGAAAAAATTCAGATTTAGACAATGAAAAACACAAATTGACAGTATACGTACTCCAAAGCTTAAGTGTCCATTTCGTCTATAACGAAGATTTTGTATGGCAGAAACTACTGTGAATATGTGAAAGTGACCTCTAAACCCTCGCGACCTTATGCAAACCTATATCATCTTTAGCGAACCACCAAAACATGGCTAAAATCAATGTTAAAGGCATTCAATGCGATTTCAGGGCAGCAAAATTGAAAATATGTTGAATAATGCAATCTTTGTGATTTTGACACATACTGCTTCACATTAGCATATTTGAGTCAGTATTTCATACATTGGGCTTTTCAAGCTGCAGAAACAAGCCCCAAGATGAGTCTTTTACTTTCTGGGGGGTACCTTACAAGTCAGCCCAGGGCCTTCCAGTAGCCATTTTCGAATCCGTCAGAATTCTGGGAATTTTTGCTCTATGAGGGTCAATATACATTACGATAGTGCGGTTTCAACTCAGTATGTAGATAAATGACTAGAATATTGGCTTTGAAAAATCGGGTTTCCAAGCCCTAAAACTGCACTGGATGCGTTTGAATAAAGACCAATTAAAGACCCCTACCAATAACATCCAGCTCTACCACAAAAAATTCCAAAGAAATAAACTACTTTTAGTTCACATTTGGTTTCAGAATGTCTCAGAAATTCTCTAAAACTGGGCCCACAGCGCCTGCGCGGTTTACTGGCCTTTGCTCTAGTGGCAATTGGGCTAGCAAGTCGACAGAGCATACTGCACCTGCGCAGAATCACGCTTTCTGCAAGTTGGATGTTTGATCATCGTTGCATAATTGTGCTACATTGAAGGTGTTGGACAAAACATTAGTAGTAGAACTCTTCTTCCTTGTTACATAGCTCACTCTCTGCTTTTCAAACGCTGTTTTTTTTTTTCATTCCTATTTTCTCTGTTTGCAGACAAGGAACTACTTGATCGACGTAGACACTATAACAAACGTCTCTACCGAGAATCAGGGTATACGGTCACCTAGCTCTCAGTACTGGCCTCTCATACCAGACCCTCAGGAGCGGACCTTACCTAGAAACGTGTGTGGTTTCTGGTTTCAGTTTCTCGGTCCTGCAACCACATTTGAGGTGCGCTTCTGCCTTAGAGTAGCCCAGATGCAAACTCCTTACATGAGTACAGACCTTCAAAATCCATTCGATTACAGGCTAGTAGAACTTGTGGACCAGCTAGATATTTCTGTAGAAACACGCGATGTTCGTAGGAGGAGACAAAAAACTGAAAGTAATTGCAAAAGGAGGCGTTATTCTCATGTCGTTGATGAGAACACTAGAAACAGATGGTTGACCACGGCTCAAACGACGGTTGAAAAGGAAAAACACACTAGCAAGTCTGTGTTGCCCAGCTTGTCCCGGTCAGAAAGAAGTGGTAAGATTTTATATTTACATTTTTTTTGTTTTTAAAAAATGGTAGGTAACACAGTATGTTTGTGAATCGCATATAATGCGTTGGCAATATAAACAAGTAACATACCGTATCTGAACATTTGTCTCTATTTTTAATGTAATGATAGAAACAGACTGAACTATCTGTACTTCAGACTATAATGTTAACGTTTTTCCCTTTAAATCACAGAATAATTGTATAAAAAAAGTACCCTGTGCTTGAGAGACTATTTTTGATGTACATGGAAGTAATTTGTACTTTGCATCTTGACCTGTAAACGTGTCTTGATTTGTTGTGAATCTGTGAGTTACTATTTTTAAAAATCTTCTGCACACTAATCAGGTACCTGTAGGTCAACAGTGTATGACAAGATCATGGGTCGTTTGGAGTTGCTGGGAGAAGAGGGTATGTACAGATTCCAAGTTTAAAACATACGCATGTGTGTGTGTGTGTGTGTGTATGGTAAGTCTGTGTAGAAGTACAAACTATGATATAACCTGTATTGCAGTTGGACGGCTTTGTTGTATTTTTCTGATAGATATCGTTGCAATAAAGGCAGAATTTATACCATTTACGAAAAAAAGAGCGATTGAATCTGCTATATGTTAACATGAAGTTCCTACTACTTGTTCAACTTGTTTGTCCCATCATTTCCTGAAGATAGGTAGATGGAATAATATTTCTAAAGCACACCGATATATAATGATGCTTTGGTTTCGCCAGCTACAACCATGCATGGTATTCGCCTCTGATTAGGCTCAAAATATGCAGACGAAATCTTGTACTAAACCTGTAACTTCTCATTTGCTCTGCCAAATCCTTAGTTGTCTGTTGCATAATGTAGGATGTTTACTGGACTGTTTACAGGAAGGTGGCAGGAGTTTGACATTTTCGCTGGGCAACTGGTAAAACACTTCGAAACTAGAGCTGATACTGATCTAAAGACTGTCGTTGTGTTGGAAGTGAGTGACACCATTTACTTTGTTGCTGGCTATTTCCCCCCATGTTTTCTATTCAAATGAAGTCAATGATATGAAATGATTTAAAAATGTTTAGTTTGCAAAAATGCTGTTGCTTATGTTCCCTAGCTTTATTCACCTTCCCAGCCTATAAAAAACTGCATTTCTATGAACACTTACCAATTCATACATCTCGCAAAATGTCGGCCATTTCATACTCCACTGCACACAGAAAAGAAATCAAACCCAACATTGACTATATCCAAAGTAGCATTAGCATTACTTATTATCATTTTTACGATTTATTTTGTTATCATGTTCTTGTAATTAGCCCTCGGGCTTGAATTTTCAATAAACTTTCTTTTTTTACTCTCTTTCGAAAGTATTTTCACCGTATCTGATCTCATTGTATTACAGCAAGCTTTGGCAGAATACTACAAATACAACTTGACTGGGGCGGTCTCCATCACAAAACAAGCCCTACAGACTCTTAGGAAAGAAAGGACACAGAACACAGAAATGCTGATAGGAAGGGCCTACTACTTATTATCTGACGTTTATCAGAAAGACAAAAAGTATGGCCTGGCAGAAAAATACATGGATCTAGCAAAACAGGTACGTTTCAACTGAAATGAAAAATTTGATTCCATCTTGTTTTGCATATCGTAATTCGGATAAATCTAAATCCAAATGATAGGCATGATCATTACTCCATGAAGGAGGTATCCCTCCTGCAGGAGTATTATGGTCAGTTGGTTTTTCGTGTTCGCAGCTAAAACGCACGGTTCCCTTTGTTTAATCGGCATGTAATTTTATACGTCGTCTGCAGGCATACCCGTGATGATGCTCGTACTTTTATTTTTACAGTAGCTGTTTTCGTGGTCAATGTAATATTTCAGAAGCACCTCTACATTTAAAAGGCATTTGGGACTGACCGCAAAAAAAAGGGGGAAGTGATTCCATCAGGCAGATGTTAGGGTTGTTCGTTAATTAGAAACAGTTTATTTTATGCATTAGCATTGTAAAACCAAGTATTTTATATGGATAAGAATGAACAAATTGGTAGTATCAGGAATGAGGTTTTTGTCACTTAACGAAACAAGATGAAATTGTTCGCCTTTTTTGTAGGTTCTGTCGAACTTCGAGATTGGAGAAGACACCGGTGAAACCTACTACAACAAAGCATCATTATATGCTGCCATGATAGCCAATCATAGCTCACCCCCGAGCAGCTTATTTGACGAGGTAACGACATTGATTGTACTCTGGATTTTCTGCTTATATCTTGTGCATAAACAAGAATTTGATCTGTGTCAACTTTGTACATGACATTTATTATGAAAAGGGAATCTCTTTTCTTTATCCCGGCCCACAAATCCGGGACAACCGTGGACCCAGTTGTTCAGTACACATCATTCTGCGAAAGTGTGATGTCAGGGGTAGATACGGACTTTAAATCAGCTTTAACCCAGTTGTTACGTAACACTTCTTGACGTGTACTGAACAACCCAGTGTAATCGGTTTACACTGGTGGGAAGCAATTCTTATGTTTGAGTAACTCCTGATTTGCAGTAAATTCATCCTGTTTACTATATAATATTTGCTCTTCAGAGGATACATGTACCTGCATTAATTATGTTTACCGAAGGAAGACATATTGTTTTTGCTCGTTTCTTCCTCCTTTTCAAACACTGACCTCTGACCTGACCAATTACATGATTTGTTGACGTCTGTCACCATGGTGACTGGTGTTGGGTTACATAATGTTGCAATTTCATGGTCTGCTCTGATCCTGTCACCATCTACTCCTGACATGTATGTGAATGTGTTTATTGAATAACAATTAACAGAGCAGACCATGATCGAAGGTAAACATTATGCATTTGCTTTGCAAATGTTGCTTCTCTAGTTTTACTACTATCTTTCTTGGTATCTTTTAATTTTTAACCCCAGGTTCGAGAAAATCTGGAACTGGCTATTTGCCACTGGAGACAAGACATGTCATCCTGTCCGGCTCACCAAAGAAGAGCACACATCAAACTCGCAGCTGTGTTGTTGGACTGTGCTTCACCACAAGGGAGGGAGCGAACTGTCAGTCCACAACATGTTGAAGCCGCTCGAAGGAGCATAAACATCGTGCGAACTGAATTCTGGGAAGGAATGCCCAAACGCAGCCGATGTCGCTTCCTCCTCACAGAGTCTGACGTCTACTTTCGTCAGAAAAGTTACGCTTTGGCACAAGAAAAAGCTTTGGAAGCACGCGATCTTGCCAAAAGCTGTAGGTTTAACATAGAGGTAGACATGGCAGACAGGCGGCTGGAATGTTTGGCTGCTGTGCATCATTATCTGCCGGCATGTGGTACGGACAGAGTGTTACAGGATGTCATTGGCTCTCTGTCAGTTGATACTGACACTAGGGAAGAAGACACGTTCTCAGAACCTGATAGTGAACCATTGAATTAACAGACCAATAGTGCGGTTGACGGATCTTCCTTTTTGGTATGTAGATAGACTGATGCTTGATATAATTAGATAATTGGATTTCCATTAGATAACAGGACTATTCAAACATGACTGACTGGGAATGAGAAGAGCTTGTTGCACTTACAAATTACGTGAAAGTGAACATATGTGAATAGAAATTATGCAAATGAGAATCTAATTTGCATAATCTTGCGTCGCTGATGTGTTGGAGAGGAGAGTCCCTAACCGAAACTCAACTACAAGGTTCCACTGAGTCGTACAGAAAGACACAGACAATCCTTTATTCCCAAAACTCTCAAAATCATGCAGCAGAAACAATTGTAATAGTTGTTGAGTTTCAGACTCTAGCTTCTTCTGCAGATTACTTGCATACGAACTTGTCTGAAAATTGTGTA